ATATATATATATATATATATATATATATACACATGAAAAAGATAATTACTTCGAAGAATTGGGAAGAACTCGGAGATATATCGGCTATAGATGTTAAGCTAGCCGCGTTGCTTTGCGACCGCTGTGGCAAGTCCTTATCTCTCTCCATTCGTTGAGTTGCCGAATGCTCCTTCATGTCTTTCAAGGTGTCTTTACAAATCTGCAAACAAAACAAATAAATATCACTGCGTTATGTAATTGTGACCGGTTGTAGCAGCGTGATGTGCTTTGCTGCGTGCTTCCAAAAGGTTGCGTCTATTCGAAGCAATTTATTATTAAAACCATTATTGCAATAAAAAATATTTATAAAAAAAAAAAGAACAGATTTGGTTTCAATTGAGAGAGATTAATTGATAACAGATTAATTGATAACAGTCAATACGTTTTAAACGAATATAATATCGAGGGAAATTTTAAACGATAATATTAAGGATACTTAGACAAAAATCCTCTTGTTAAGTTTATGATTAATAATTTTTTTTTTAATTTTCTTTACTTTGTACTTTTTCTATTATTTCACAATCATCTGCATGAAAAATGACTTCGAGTAATAAAACGTTCGTTATTTCTTCAGCGATTTTTATTGTTATAATTTTTATTATCTCTCGCTATAATGAGGTGCAAATTAGGAAAATTATCTGCGACGCAATTTTGCTTTATGCAAGAATATTCTCATGAGAAATAAGGAAATATCCGATTTAGAATTCGAGATACAACAAAACATTACGACGGGACCATTGATATACCAAATGGATTTCGCAAGGAAACGTGCATCAAACGTGCCCGATGGCCGTGGACAAAAATAACTTATTTCAGCAGCACTCGTGGACTGCGTGGCTCTTGTTCTCCGTCTTTGTTTCAAAAGAGCTCTGTTTCTCTTTCTAATTTCTTCCCACGTTCTACATCTGCTGCTCATCGTCTCTGTGACTTCGTTCGAAAAGATACTTCAATTTAACTCTAAGAACGCGTAACAAGATTTTATGCGCGAGATTCAAAAGAAAATTATAATAAAAGAGAAAAGGTAAAAAGGGATAATGAAAACAAAGTGCAAATTTAAAAAAAAATAATCTAGATATCGCAAAGAAACAAACAATTTACGATTAATTTGAGGGTTGATTGCAGAAAAAATTAATTAGACGTGTAATATGATAAAAAAAGATGAACAAAAAATTGTCGCAAAATTTTAAAGATTTTCTTTATGTATTTAATATATAGATAAATAATATATTTTGTTCCTCTTTCATCTTGCGACAATTTTTTATATATTTTCATAATTCCTTATTTTAGATCTCTAACGATTGTTTTCTTTATACAGCTGTATAAATATCGATTTTAGCATCCGTTTGATTTCTTTCTCACTGAATGTTACTATTTATATTCATCGTTATGACAAAACGTGGGATTGAGAGCGACCATAATTTTCTTAATGATGATTCTTCGCAGCCGAGAGGTTCGCAGATAAAAATTATATAGAGGACAAGATGCGAGCATATTTTATATTACAACAATGAACAAAAGCACTTGATTTTCTGCAATGATAAGTGTGATTTTTGACGACAACGTCACCGACGGCGTTATTGAACAAATAATAATCATTTTGTGAACATAATTATATTCATTTAGAAAATTATCTCGATCGATTAACTTTGATCAGATTTTACTCGGAAAGCTCGTCTGTGACACAAAAAGAAGATAGTTAATAGAAGGGCTTCCCGTATCCAATTAAGGCACGTGCTTTATTATGTCCCCTTCTGCACAAAGTTGGCAGCATTATTGGCACTCGATGGAAGTGTATTACAATCCTTCCCTAGAATTTATCTATCATCAATTTTTCGTTACGGTTGACGTTATATCTCGTTATGGGATTTCCAATTAACACAGACAACGAATGAAATAATTACTTCGTTGCAGCAAGAAGAAAATGGAGATAACAATAGATAATATGAGAAATTTGTTTTTTTTATAAATTAAAAAAAAAAAATAAAGTTCGTCAGTAGGAAAGTAATATGAGAATTATGTATAATATATAATGTATAATTTTATTTTATCTCAACACTTAAACATATTATATTGTTGCTCAAGTGCTGCGTATTGTTCATTGACATTGCGCTAAACAGTTCGGTTTTCTTAATATAACAAGCCACGCGTATATATTTTTCTTAATAAGACCAATTTCACCAGGCATTGAAAATAGACGTTCGACTCTACCGATGCTATTTTCTTCTTGGCACTTGGCACTTTGCGTGCGTTCACACATTCGACTTTGTCTCTCGAGCCCAATTGATCGAATTAATTTTGTTGGTATACGTCATCACCGAGGATGCACGTATCGATGTCATGAGCGTGGCGATTGGATTCATATATATATATATATATATACATACGAGAACAAATCTTAATGCGCGTGTGAGGCAGAGTTTCAATTGAAATGATATACTCGAGTTGGAATATACTCGTTATATTTTTCCTCAATGACAAGCACAACAAGCATAAATTACACGAAATTACGAGAAAAAAATTTATTTTTTTTCTTTGCCATTCGCGTGAGTCGACTCTTGGTTCAATATTAAAAAAAGAATTGATAATAAAAAGATCTATTTCAATTTAAAATAACGTAACAATATAAATGTCTTATTGCTGTTGTTAATATCTTTTTAAGATTACTAATCAAGTTTTTAAGGATATATTACATCTACTTTTATTTATAATGAAAACATTATAAATTATTCTAGATCGCATCTAAAAGTAATATGACATTTTTGCGGCAGTTTTAAATGTGGATAAAAAATTATTTAAATATAAAATAGAAATGTGCTTTAATAGAATTAAAAATAATAATATTAATAATTAAGAATTAAAAAAATAATGACAAAAATTTCAAATTTTTTTATATAAATACTTTAGGTATTCAAGATTTGTATAAAGATTTGTTTCACTGCGATGCATTCAGAGAAAAAAGTCGTATCAGTAATTAAAAATTTGTATACCAAGAGCGTCTCAATTATATATAATAAAAACAATTAACAAGTTATATAAATCAAGAAAATAATAGTAATATTAATCTTTTAAAATAAATCATTAGATAAATTAATATATTGTATAGATATACTTAATATATTGTTCTGTTATCGTCAATGTATTTTTTAAACTTATCTCACCGATATGCTTATTTCATAAAAAAACCGTTGTTTAAACCGAAAAAATGTAATATTATATTCTATTTGAAGTCCATATAACTATGTAATTATAGTCGAATCGCTATTTCATTACCAATTAATAATTCATATCTATTATATTATAGTGATTATATTTTTATTGTATTTGATGTTACTTTCATGATTACTTTGATTAGTTGCAAGTACTTAAATTTCATAATTGTCATAAATACAGTTGTCAGAACTGTTTTGTTTTCTCTCAGTGCAGATATTAGTTGTTCTGCACATAAAAATTAAATTTTTATTAAAAATATACGAATGAATAGTGATAATAAATTATATTTAAAATAAAATTAAATTTCTGCTTACAAGAACAATCTGTTTCATTACAGCACTTTCACTTATTTTTTAAAATAATTTTTGATCTAGGTTCTGAATTGCCGCAAACCTTTTTTGTACTATTTTCAAATGCAATTTAGAATAATCTACGTTTTTCATAATTTTTTCATTATAAATAAAAAAAATATAAAAAAAATTATAAAATAGATATAATACATCATTACTTTGTTATTAAACAACTATATCAAATATTTATACTTTACGAAATAATTTCACAGCGATTAGAATAATTCTCTGACAGTTGAAATATTTATGTACATAAAAAATTCATTATGAATGTTAATACGACGATAATAAGTTAGGAGATATATCTTTACAGACCACTTAATCTAACGTTTTCACACACAGCGAAAGATTAGAAGTCTTCTTCGTAATTATCTTAGGATACATAAACAATTACAGGGTGTGTCTTACAAGGTCGTGTATAAAAAGTAATTAGAAAGGATGCGAATGCAATAAATTAAGCGATACTAAGCTAATATAAAAAAGTTAACCAGGAACGCTATATTTCATTCCTAATTATCTCTTCATATTTCTGTTGTGGAATATCATTAATGTGCATAATACACGTAATTAATCAACTAAAAACTATATAAATTATTACGATCCATACGAACGATTACGAAATCATATAATCAATTTAGTTTTTTGTCAGATTTTGATTCATAGCATCAATCTCCGAATATGTTACGTAAGCAATGACTCCGTGCACAAAATTGCACCGCACCGAGCAGTACTGGGAAAAAAAAAAGTATCTGCCGAACGCGTTATTACGTTGTGAAACGCCTACAAAAGCGTTACGCGATTCCCATTCGATCGTGGACGACTGCTAGGCTGGTATTAATACCGCCAGCGGTATTTTGCATCTGAAGAGTTCGTATACTATTGACAGTCATTATATATAAAACATAAAGGGTAACGGTCATTATGTATAACATAAATTAACTCCTCGAAGCGAGGAGTTAATTTATTCCTCGTGCGAACCTCCCTCGGCACATGTCGGGAGGACGCAAAGAAAGAATCATTATTGTCTTTCTTTCTCCCACGAACGACCTCCCGGCTGCTATAATGCCCCATTAACAGCCGCGCTGAAAGCACGATGATTATGTAAATGCACGCATGAGGGGAACAGCAACGTATCAATTACTAATAATTAGTGATAATGGGATAACTGTGTCACTTTCGGCCAACACTCGGCGGCACAATCATTTAAAAAAATGAGATTCCGAAAATAGAATTTTATGTTGCACCGGCAAGAAGCAATTAATTATCGGTAACAGCCTTCGATCGAAATAATAATTATTAAGATAGGAGCTTCGTATTTTCCCTTGGTTGTTTTTTTTTTTTTTTTTTGCGAAATTAATATTGTCCTAAACCATTCACGAATGACCGAACTTTCACCTGCGAGTTGGTAAAGTTTATTTAAGCGCTATAAATACAATATCGATATAATATGTTTTATAACTTTACGCCATAAAATATGTCCGTGATTCCATAAATTTTATAGAAAATTATTAATATCTGGTATAAAATCGTCTTTATATCAATAGAACTTTTACGAAACAGTTAACATAATATTTTACACACACACACACACACACACACACACACACACACACACACACACACACACACACACACACACACACAAAAGGAAATTAATTTATATGTATTTCCAGTATATTCCAGTATTTCACTAATGTATATTTCTATTTGTTTAATTCACAAGCTTAGCATAAGGGAAAAAAAAACATGTAACTGTTATATAATTTTACAATAGCCTCGCGTTATTAAGAACAAGTTACTAGTACATAATAATTACAATTGACGTGATTGGATGTGAAGGCGTTTTAAAATTAGCTCTGCGGGAATCAATGTGCAACGCTTGTTAATATTATATAAAGCTTATTCCTACCATAAGGAAGCAATAAATATTCCAATGGACTTCAGAAGTCGATTTTATCGATAACGATAAGTCATTTATCGAAGATGTGAAGATATATGAAACTGCTGGATGGAGTAAAATATGTGCTGAAAAGAACATATCTACCGGAATATTTTCTTGATATGCACGGATACAAATAATCGAGTTTCCTAGAAATTTTCCCAGTATCTGTGTTAGTGCATGACGTCGATACGTCTTGTGCAGTGGCTGCGAAGTACGAGCGATCTCGGAAAAAACCTGCTGGCTACTATCGCCCACTGTCATCTGCATACGCAGTAAACACGTTGACAAAAAGAAAAAGAAAAAAAAGGGGGGAGGGAGAAGGTTAGTTTATACAGCAGTGTTACTCAATATTTCTTTTGGTTTGTCAATCCTTTTTCTCATATTTCTACTCTTTTCCCACTATTTTCTTTCATTATCTTTTTCATCTTTATTTTTTTCTAACCGATACAAAGCGACTGAAAAAAATAAATCGATATCGCGAAAAATTGAACAATTTATTTAGAAAATTCATATTCCCGTTTAATATTATTAATGCGTTTTATATCGTGTGTGTGTGTGTGTGTGTGTGTGCGTGTGTGTTAATAGAAATGCATCCGACTCTTCTGCAAAGCCACATGGCTCTTGCTGAGAACCTCGATCAATCAATTATCGGATCATTTTACCGTCAGATGTCAGATCATCATTCGCAGTTATTACTGAATTTCCAAATGACACGCGAAGATCGCTATTTAAAATAATTCTCGTCACGACTGATGACAATTATGTGGATGGTTCAGATTCGATTATTCCCAATAATTGATACGTTCAAAGTTAATGTTACCTCTTAGACTAACAGGGAGATAATAATCGTTGATTGCAGCGGATATCGATACGTGTCATCTATTCGTTACACGTGGAAGCGTATCGAATATCGCAAGGGTATAATCACATAAAATGTTTTAAATAAAAAAAATTTTTTATTAAAATTATTTTACAACTATTTTCGCATCGAAATGAAAATTCACATAAATCAGCTTGAATACTTGAAGTATTTATATAAAAAAAAAAAAATTGAAATTTTTATTATTTTGTAATTTTCTATTCAAATAAAAAAATTTTCATAATCGATGTAATTAAGTCAATATTAATCGCGTTAAAAGGATTCAAGTTGCCAAGTTACAACTGCTTTGTAGAACTCGCGTGCAGAAGCGCGCTCCATATGCGATGTGCTTGCGTATGCGAATCGGTTGCCAACGGTATTTTCGAGATTACGTGTCCAAGTAAAATTATCTCATTTTCAGTGTTACTGGAACTTTGGCTAGAGTTAGTGGGACTTCGACCCAGACTTTGGACCCGGGATCTTCCGGGAATTCCGTCTGGGAATAAAATGAAAATCGGGACGGCAAAACTCGAAGACGTTCCGACGCGGAGTGTCAGGAACGCTAAAATTTCGCGGTGAACGCGGGTGTTTGTGCAAGTACATCGAAGAGAATCGACAGATTCGGGCAGGAGTGTCAACGGTAGAAGTCTTCGTGCTTCTTAGGAAGGGAATCGGAACACGGTCAGTCAACGGTTGCTGGCAGGCCGACTTGGGATTTCACGTCGCTTGTCCGGCGTAAATTTAGATCGCTGTACGCTCGGTTTGCGAAAATACGCCTTTCCGCTAGCGGAAGGAAGGAAGGAAGGAAGGAAGGAAGGAAGGAAGGAAAAAGGGAACAGGGTATAAATTAAAGAACGTAAGATCGAGACTGATTTTTTACACAGAAAGAAACTGGCAAATCTAAAAATGTAGCTAGATACAGATCTGAAAATGATTTTTGTTGGGCCTTCAAAATTATTATATACGATGTTCAAATTGATTGTTAGAAGATCAAACATTTTTGCAGTATTATCATATTTAAGTGTTTCTTAACAAAATAATTTTGATGAGCCAACAAAACTATTTTCAGATCTGTATCTGATCAAATTTTTAGATTTGCCAGCAAAAGTGTGTTCCTTCCGTGTGTAGGCTCCACCCAGTGAGAAATTTTGTCGCATATTACTAAAACGAATTTTGCTACTTTTTTGTAGAATTTACAATCGTTAAAAAAATGAATGAAAAGAATGCCTCGATAAACAAAGTGTTATTTATGCAATCTTTTTAATTTTCAATTGCCACGTGATGAATGAGCGTATAACAACGGGTACTTTCCGTTTAGTGACACCAATCGTGACACAAGAATCGTTTTGTCCTTGTTACTCGTTGAATGCCAAGAAAGATAGAACGTTTGATTTGTCACTAAATGAAAAGCGCCCAATATAACGTAAGCTGAGAAAAGCGAAGGAGCTTTCAGCCAAATTCGAAAATGGCGACTACCGATCGTTGGCATGAATAGAGCAATGAAGCGTGTGATAATAACTGACAGGTTCACTGATAAGAAATTTAGATGGTGGAATACACAATGAGAGAAATTAATAACGCTGTCATCACCATGATGTATCGAAGCGACACGTTCCACTCGATGGCACCGGGTTAGCTTTAATTAACCCTTTGCCGAGCGTGGCGTCAGCAATTACGACGAAATTCCTTAGCATCCTAGGCGAAGGATGCTAAGTAAATAAGATTTTCTGCACAATAGTTGACACTAGTATTTGTGCAACATATAATCAATTTTTAGAGAACTATACAGATTTTGAAAAAATGTAAAAAAAAATTATCTGAGAAACGATACGATATTAAAGTTAAAATATATAATTTTCAACAAAAAATTTCCTAAATTCCTATCATTTGATATCATCACAAAGGTCGATATAATGCGCTCTCTCATTAAGATTTACTGATAAAGATAAAAAGAAAAAAAAAAAACTATTTTCCTCGTCTGCGCGTAACTTTGGAGACGCGAGAATAAAATTACGTAAACAACTTTAGCGGTCATGTAGGACCAAACGATTCGTTGAAGCATGCAGTTTCGCTAAAACTATCAATGAGAGGTGAGTAGACACGCTACGTCATTACCTATCATACAGGTACACTTATGTAATTACGCAATTTACGTAACTCAGAGATCAGCCAGGAGGATCAAATTCACAATTTCAACGCGAAAAAGAAACTAATTGAGATTGCGTCAGTCGATCAGGACAGAGCTGCACGTACTTGCGCATTTGACGAGGGATGATCTTTCGACGCCATCATCAAGGGCTCTTTGGCAACCTTGCTGCCGTCGCTGTAAGACCTGTAGGGGCTGGAAGCTGATATCGGTACCGTTATCATCTTGACTTTTGATCCTTCGCACGTAGTAGGGTTGAAGCTTAGTCTACCGGCGTCATATACGGAATAAACTTGCACACCTTATTACACCTCCTCCTTTGTCTGCTACCTGTTTGTTCAACAAGTGTAAAACAACATGATCTTCGGCTGGCTGTCGAAACGTCATTGACCGCGACTGGAAGCGAGTCGTTTTTATTCCGAACCGATAACTCCTCCCCATTAATTTTACTCCGAGTACAATTGTTCTTCCCTAAAGTTTTTTTCCCCTCCGTCGAAAAAAAATTGTTTTCCCGCAAGATAAATGCCCAAATGCTTTTGATAGCCGAGAGTATTTCTTCTAGAAGCGAAGTAATTTGAAAAGTACCGGAGAATGTCCAGTGTGAAGCGCTTTCGCGAAACGATCGATGTTAATCGATCTGTACGAGAATACGTAAATGCACGGCCGTGCGAAAGCCAGATTTTTAATTATCGAGAAACTTAAATTGAGAGAACTTTCAAAATTCTCTTCTTGCCAAGTTACGCATTTTCCCGCGTGTCTCGAGACACGCGCGAGACACAAGGCTCGAATTCAAAGGCAAATTGGAAAGCAAAGCAACGCGGCCTGGCCTTGCGATTATTTTTAGCCTGTCAATGCGCATTTAACACAATCAAATCGTAATATTGACAGTCAACAGATAGCAGGAGAGTTTCTCCCGTCGAAGGAATTTATTCCCGGATGGAAATACCTTAACGATAAAATTTCAAAACATCACCACATCACGGTCGATATTTTTCCCAACACCCCGCCGCCACCGGTGCGTTTCGGCGCACCGCCGGGTTAAATTCTCGAGAGCGAATAATTCTCCTCGCGATCCGGAGGACCGATCTTGTTTTCTCGCGGCACTTGCAAAACGTGTTTTTCGCAGCTCGCGCTGCTCGTCGCTCGTCGTCGTCTTCGCTGACGGCCGAGCAAACATAGACTGACGTATTGGAGCACCGCGACGCACCACGGGACGAATGAACCACTCGAACTGTGGTGGTTGCGTGCTTGTCAGGTAATGCATGGTCCCTGTTTAGCACGCCCAATATTCCTCAAACGTGAAAACAGCGGCGTAGTTACCACGATATTATCCCGCATTAGAAGGCGGGGTCGGCCGGCAATTACGATTTTCGGAGCGAGGAGCACTCGCTTTCCGCTTTCCGAAATACCAGGCGCTCCATTTCGACCCTTTGGTTACGAGGTAACAAATATTATTTCTCTCGCAAATGAGTAAAGATCAAATATCTCGTTTCGTAATTTCATACAATCAGCGAGTACGATGTGAAAAAAATATATAATTTGCTGATTGTAATCGCGTAATGATTCGAAATGTGCCGAGAAAGTGTGAAAGGTCACCCCGTGAAGCGTATTTTAGAAGCAGCAAATTTAAAAACACTTCATGGAAAAAATAATTTTGCTGGGTATTAGAGCTGAGAAATAATTTGTTTGACGGAAAAAATATTTTCCGTCAAAATAATTATGCAGGACGTTTCAAATTAGTCACCAGGATATAAAAAATTTTGCACATTTAAACTAATACTTCTACGTAATAATTTTGATGGTTCAACAAAATTAATTTTCAGATTTGTGTCTGAACCAAATTTTTAGAGATTTTGCAGCAAAATTGTTCGATGCAGAAGCAAATCTTAACGATTTACGTCACAAAATCTGAAATGAAATGTACAAAATTATAATCGTAATGATTAAAATGAAGACAAAGGAGATAGCTTCGGATTTATGGCAAGTGATATTAGCTTTTTGGTGCGTTCACATGGTGCATGGTCCTAGATACGTGCCTGACTTAACGCGACATCTATGTTATCATACGTTCTCCCGTATTTATGAAGCAACTCGTCACAATTTACATATTCGTATTATCGCGAGCGTATACGATATGTCTTTCGTAAAACGGAGATGAAGCGACGAGACGACGAGCGCGCGTTTGCATCTTTGCATGCCAGTGCATAATCAGTCCGTTCCACCAAGCGACCACGATTGTATACGAATGGAGCGATTTCTGTTTGGAATGAAATAAGAATACCAATGCGTGTGCCAGTGAACCATGAAAGGTCCTTTCGTTTCTTTTTCTTGTTTCAATTGCGTAAGTCTACTAGCGTAGACGTCACTATGTGGTTTTATCGCGCTCCCGAAGGACACGTTTTATTTTACACGTAAGAGTTTTATTTTTTATACTAAATAGTGATTTATCGCGGACTTGAAACTTGCAATAAATAAACGTCCATAAAAATGATACGAAACGCTCCGTAATTGTAAATAACGCTTGAAAGATCTGGAAAAAGCCATTTTTCAAGCCATCCCATTATTTAAAATATTTCTAATCGAGATCGATTGTGCTTGATTTTATGTGTATGTGTGAGTATTATAATAGCAAATTCTGTTTTATTTAATAATAAATGTCAAAGATTGTATGATATCCTCGTGTCTGAAAACACATGCGCATTTTGCATAATTCAAAATACATTTCAGTATAACGGAAAAAAATTTAATTGTATTTTTTTTAACGCTAATTATTATACATTCGATGGACGGATTATTATTACATTCACGGAACGCGATCGGTTACGAGAGATAAAAAGAAATAAGATTGCTGGAGGATTAACATTAATAGAAAAAGTGAATAAAAATGGAACGGCAACGCTAGAAAATCCTAACAGTGTAATCCTTGACATCACATGTGTCGCCTGCAAAAATCGGTGTGGCAAGTACCAATGGTAACAATAAAAAAGGATATATGTGTAATAGCGAATCAGCACATTGACCAGAACTCGATTAACATTACATTGGTCATCAGTGTCATTATGTAGAGTTAAGTGCTGTAATGACACCACATTATCGATCCGAGAAGGTTACTCTTTACGTTGGTTTGTAAGTCAAAGAGGAAATGCGTAATATCAATCGTTATTTTGCTAACAAAAATGAAAATACAAAATTGACGAAACTTTTTAAATACATAATTGATAATCGCCAATATTAATATCTTAATACTTGTTGATATTAATAAGATCAAACGAGGCGTATTTAATAAAAAAAAAAATGTGTGTGTATTATATGTGTAGTATTTTTTTTATATAAAAGAGAATACTTAAAAAGAGAATATTTTTATAAAAAAGATAAAAAAGGCAACGTAAATGCCGTCTGCAAATAATTACGTAAAATGCTATATTTAGTTTGGAATTAAATATATTGTGGAAAACATAAACTGTATCACACAAAGAAGTAGGAGAATAAGATAAATTAATCATGATTAAGCTTTCGTTTTCATATAGTAGATTTAGTTTCATGTTCAAGACGAAAATAATACATGTCGTTTATAAGTTATAGAGATAATTTTTTCATTATCTTAATGAAACTTAATCATAATGAAGTGTAATAAAAGTTTCTGTTATATTTATCACATATCAATAATAAGATATCAATAATGTGTACATTATACCGAACATATGAATCACTTCTTCAGAGTTTTAGATAAACTTTAAGCTGCAGTCTTATTATTAAAGATGTGCAATACAATAATACGCTATCTCTTTTTGTTGAAAAATCATAGTTAATTGAATTTTTATTATCCTCTTATATAAATACGTACAATGTTATAATATTATACTTGCAAAGAATATAATTTTTTTAAGTCACTATTTAAAATATTTAAAGCCAGTAGAATATGCGAATTGCCTTTTGAACGCAATCTCGATAAATATAGAGAAAGAATTAGTGGAAATTTTTTATCGTTTATTTATTTAAACAGTTTATAGACCATCACTCAAATAAACAACTAGTGTTGTTTACATGTAAAAGTTTAGTACCGATTTAGCGTACGTTTCAGCGAATCTGAAGAGACAACAGCGCCAAAGGTAAAACAAACATAATAACAACAACTAGATATGTGTTATATAACGCCCGGCCAAATGTTTTTCATGGATAAACGGTTGTATGACTAATAAAATTGTAAATAACTGTATATCAACAATTGGCTATGATCAACTTGGCGACACAAATTTAAATCAAATAAAACTAGCAAATAAAAAAAATGAAATAAATGCAAATCAATTATAACAAATTAGATTACACAATTGTATAATTAGATTGGACAATTATAATAATTAAGATTATAATAAATAAGATGGTATAGTGCAATAAATGTTACAAACAAAAAGTTTAAAAATATTAGTAATTATTTAAAATCATTTTTAAAGCTTAGGATCAATATATAATTATAAAAATTTATATCTCAATGTGTATTAATTTTTTTGTCATCAAATAATAATTTCGCAACGAGTTATTTTTGTAAATAATAATAACTGTAAATCTCGTGATACATAAAACGTAGTTTTACTAAATATTTGGCCGTTCGTAGAAATTGCATGCGTAAATCTCAAATCGAATCTCGGACGGTTACGTTTCAACTGCGGAACACACGGAAATTTCTGTGATGGTTCAGATGGCACAGAAAAAAAAATTAGTCTTAAATTAAAAAATTATGTATTCTCACATATAAGCAAGAATATTATAATTTTGGAAAAATTTTAATCCTGATTTGATTGAATTTATATCGATGCAAATATTGTTATCGTATCATTATAAATTTAATATTATTCGTATTTATGCAAATATTACTTTTTTATTTATTTGTATTGATTTTTATTTCTATCTATTCTCGTATGTACGCAGAAAAATATTATAATCTTCATATAGGAGATACTTGTAGTCTTAAGTCGAGCAAAAAAGTAATACTTGCATCAACAAAATCAAAGACAAAAATTTTTAAGATTCTAACATTCTTGCCCATATATGAGAATATTTGTCTCGAAGACTAATTTTTTTTTTTTTTTTTTTTTTTTCTGTCGAGTTGTGTGGCGGCTGCGTGAGACGGCCACTTACCGAAGGCGCGCTTTTTCGCTTCCTCTTTTCCCGTCCATTCGACGAAAATCGAGCGTCAGCCTTAAAGTATCGTGCCGCTCCCGGTCGGTCGACTTTCACCGCGCGATTTCGCGAGGCGAGCCGAGACGAAGCGAGACGAAAGCGAGATATCAGATTTAAATCGCCTCGTCGCCCGATATTACGCGCGGCGCGGCACGGCACGGCACAGCGGACGGCACGCAAAACGCGATTGACTCCGCACAACCATGCGGATCGCGAGCGGTAATCCTGACGATTGTTAAGGACAAATTTAATAATAGTCGCGGTGAATTGTCGATATATGATGCCCGTAGAACACGATTGGCTGTCGAGCGCGCGGCGATATTCCTCGACGAGCTTGGCTCACTTTATGCACACATCGATGATCAGAATAGGAAGTGCAACGTAGGAGATGCCTGTGTCGCGAAACGATTAGAGCCCTGGATTTTTCAACGCGAGAATGAATAGACGCGAGACCATGTAATAATGACAAATGAGATGACAATATAATTCGATATGTATTTTGCTTATTATGATATTAAAAACCGCGGCCAATCTTAATAAGATTACTTATTCTTTGTATAAGATTAATTATTTATGCCTAGACAGGTTTGAATTTAATTATATTTTATCTCGTAGAAGGAATATTTTGACGTGAGATTTTTTTTTTTAATGTATTTGTTATAAAGTTGCGAAGCTTGCTACAGAGCCAAAATTTAGTTCTTATTTAAATTTAGTTCTTAAATAATTATATCTATTTCTTATCTACGGCTATGGTCTACAGACACACTTGTTTAATTATATTTTACCTCGTAGAGACAATATGTTGACGTTTTTTTATG